TTAATCCAACTTGTAGAGGAGGTAAAAATGAACGAGGGCAGTGTTGATTGCATTATTGCCTGGCCCAAAGATGCAGTATGAAGTTCAGAGTTCCGACTTTTGATGATAGTCTGTAGGAGTATCCGTAAAGAATGTGGTAGGTACTTGAGATTTTTATCAATTGACTTGATCTGCTCAGTATCTGGATATACATCCTCATGTTTGTTCATAGTTTTTATCTCTGAACGAATGTATTCTCCCACAACTTTTATCAAGTTATCCATGTTTGATTGGTCATTTTTGCAGCATTTACATGAGCTTCTTGTATAAGATTTTTCACATTTGATGTTAGCGTTACGATGTTGGATTGTTGTCTGATTGTAGTGATGGATACCTTGTTCCCATAGTGACTCGGTAGTTCCCTTTTCAATTGTGCTGTAGTGTAGAGTTCATCGTCAGTTAGTCCATTCTTCACTTTCATAACAGAATGCAAATTATTTAGTGTAATAGTTTCATCGTCATTCTTTTCTAAATATTCAATGGCACTCTCAAATGCAACCATCTTAGACATATTCTTTGGTCGTCCAAGTTTCCGTTTCTTTGTTGGAAGCTCTTTAGCATATGCTAAAGGTATACTCTGTCCTGTCCGAAAAAGTTTGTCACAATCATGGTGATAGATTGCTTCCTCGGCTGGCAGGTCATGTATGTACACTATACGTGAATATACCATTGCTGCCCAGCTATCTTGCCTCTGTGCACAATGTGAAGTAATGTTTTGCTGGAAGTCCAGTGACATCACATGGCTGAACTGAAGTGTATGTCTGTCTGGATGTTTGTATGCAGCATCCTGGTCAATATAACTACCACAGAGAAAACAGTCAGTTTTACAGCGAGCGCAAGATATTTACATACACCTAACTCGCGCACCCGCTAGGTAATTACCGAGGGACTTTGCAACATCCCCAGACACTTTGCTAGACGCCCCAACGACCGTTGTAGACGCAATAAAGTTACACACACTCTCACGTGACAGTTAATCAAAACACCGGACGCGGTATGCTTTTGATGTGTGGGCACGAGGAATGAGGGGTAGTTGGGATATTCCATTGCTTTGTAGGTATAACAATCTGTGTAACACTTGACATTTAATCAAAACAACGGTCCGGGGGTTTCAACTATTACAACGTGTAAGCGCCCAGTCAAACATTTATCAAACAATGTTTTATTCATTGTTGTTGTCGGACACTTTATTATGTCATGCATAGATATGCTCGTTTATTTACTTATAAATAAATTCTATTTTGAACGTTTCATTAATATAATAAACCTCGTTAATACAAATAACACCCCCAACATATAATGGAATTACCATCGTGAGAACAGTTTAGTTTTGAGTGTAGTTTCTGGATTCAAGTTTGAATTGCTCGCCGACTATAACATTATTGCTATTATGCCAAAGCGTGTAGACGAAGACACTCGGAAGAAGATTATTCGTCTTTTCTTTGATGGAAATAGTTTGCGAATGGTCGCCAAGGAAGTTGGACTAGCGAGGGCAACGGTCCAAGGGATTGTGAGGCATTTCCGTCGCACCGGTTGGATACGTTCCGACAAAAGTAGCGGCTGTCGTCGACTGAAATCTACACAGGAAATCGTTGAGTTTATGGAATTTCGTCTCTTACAGAAACCATCCCTAACGGCAAAGGAAATACGCATGTCTCTCTTGAGGGAAAATATTTGCGTACAGGAAAATTTGCCTTCGGTGCGTATGGTACATCATATATATGATATAATGAAAAGTGATTTGAATTATTCGTTCAAAAAAATAAGTCAAACTCCTACTGAGCAAGTTACTGAAAGAAATATGGAACGAATATTACATATATAGACACTGTTTCTCAGCTTGATCCACAAACTTTGCACTTTTTCGACGAGACTG